ATTTACTAGAGAGGTTTCCAGAAAATGGGCAATGAAATGTTGATAATGCTCTATCAGCATGAGAACCAAAACTAAAACTATCATCAAAAAGGGTGGTGAACCAATTGAATATCTCTTTTAAGAGCAAATAAAATCCTAAGTTAAAGTACTCATTACATTAGCCTACTTAATTAATCAGGACCACTGGCCCTTTATAACTGCACAATTGTGTGCATGCAGGTTGGGTAATAAAAAAGTTAAATCATTTCTTTTAAAGTGGCATTTTTGGCTCACCCTGTGGCTCTGTTGTTGATGAAATCATCCCCAACCAAGTACAAACTGCATACATGTAATTGCATGAAGTGCATATAATTTATTCCAATTCATTTGTTGTTTTTCAGTCAACAGCTAAGATGACTGGCACAGATTCCTGGATTCAGTTACCATTATGGAAATAAACTTGATTTACAGATGACACGAGAACAACGACATTTATTTGGACACCAAGGCATAATGCCTTTGAAAGGAGATTGAAGGAATATCATTTAATTGATAAGATACCTGGTACTGTACATAACCTAATGAGCCAGAAGTATAAAAGTGAATCTGAAAATAAATGATTATTGTTGCAGTTTAGTGTACTTATAATCAGTCTGGAGAAAAGAATTGTGCTGAGCCAGTAAAAATGTTTTACATTTTATTGTTCAATGTAAAACACAAATATCTGGCACGAAGAAGGCATTCTTCTGATGTGTAGTTAATATTACAACATATACCTATTTTCACAAACATGAATGGCAACACATAATATTGATGCTCAACATAGCATCTTTACAAATCAACAATTAAACTGGTGCATTGTTATTTGTATTGGAAGATGCTTCCCAAGATATCATTTAGAGGTGAACTCCAGTAATCAAAATACAGAAAGGTAAACATGTTTCATTTACAGGGTGGACCACTGATTATATAATTTTACTTCTGTAAACATCCTTTTTATTGTTTTATATCTTCTGAAAAGAAAATACAAATACAAACTCATAAAAGAGTAAGTATTAATTGCTGATTCAATCATTCTTGATTATATAATTTTACTTCTGCACACATCCTTTTTATTGTTTTATATCTTCTGAAAATAAAAAACAAATACAAACTCATAAAAGAGTAAGTATTAATTGCTGATTCAATCATTCTTGATTTAGCATAGACTAGGCTAAATAATTCAGAATAGGAAATTGAAATTTTTTGAAATTCTATATATTTTTTTTTTACCTGATGTTTTTTACCTGAGATTTAATATGGTTACCATGGTAACAGATATGTTAAGTGGACTAAAGTTTCTTATGAACTTTCAAGATAATGTCATCATGATGACCCATAGCAAATGTCAAAACAACTCATTATCAACTGAATGAAATATCTGTATTTCAGCAATACAGTTTCAAAAAAATCTTTACAAAATGTTATACTTTATAATATTTAAATGATAATGTGTCACAAAGACTTCAATATTTGAAATCTTATCATCACATTAAGACATTATATATAAACATCTGGATACAACCCTACACTGTATGCTTTATTTAATTTAGAATGTTTTATTCTGAATAAGAAATAATTCTGACATGCAACAACTATAAAAATGACATGTCATGTGCTGATATTGCTAATACAAAACCATTGTCTTTGAACAGAGATATTTGAATATTTTCTTGTTATTAAAGATACCAAGGTGAATATGGTTACTATGGCAACCCACAACGCCATCACTTGGTGTTATACATGTATCTTCAAGCCTTTGTTATTTTCATGACCCATGATAAGTTTCATTGCATTTGGTTCAGGATTAAGTCTTATATCCAGGTTCTCATAATGGAAGTGCAAAATATGTCAAAAACCTGTCCGATTTAAAGACAATGCGGCACTGAGACGTCTGTTTTGAAACCTATTAAGGCATCAATCAATCATATCCTAATATCAGCACATCAAGTTTGGATACACTATCTAGACTGAGTAAGAGACGATTGCTGTGTTCCAAAACCGAAATTAAGATGGAATGCGCTGGTACCAGTAATAAGAAATATTGTCTTCAAATTGGAAAATTTCACGATTTTCATGTTTTATAAGATTTCAAGATTAATATGGTTACCATGGTAACCAGCACAGCCATTGGCATAATGTTGTACATGCATTTTCAAGCCAATGTTATTATGATACACCATGTCAAGTTTCATTGCATTTGGTTCTAAACTAAGTCTAAAATTCAGGTTTGAATGATGGAAGTGCAAAATATGTCAAAAAGCTGTCTGATTCAAAATTAATGTGGCACTGAGATATATGTTTTGAAATTTATTGCGGCACTAAGAGAGTTAAAGCCCCCTCTTACACAGACACAAACACTTTAAATCACTTCACAAACAACACAAAACATTGATGACACGAAACTGCTATATATCAATACATTACAAATTTGGTATAGATCCATGGCCAAGGAGAGGGGGGGGGGTCATTGGGTTCAAGTAAATCCCCTCCCCTTGCCAATATTCTTTCAAAATCCTACTTTTTTTACCAATCTGAGCACTGTTAAGTAATTTCGAGCCAAAATTATCCTTGGTTTTTTGAAAATTGATCCCCTGGGCTAAAACTTATTCCGAGCCTGTATTATATTGGATGTACATGTATTGCTCCGATTTCTTCTGGCAAATCACTGATAATAAATAAGAAAGGTGCATTAGGTTAACTGATACAAGTGGTGTTAAGCCATACTAAAACAAAATTAAAACGTGTATTCTCTCACATTTCACAATTCATGTGTTTTCTGAATCCATATAATATCTGAGATATAAACCGGGGATATAAACAACAGATTAGTCCATGATGTAATACATTTGTTTCTACTACAATTGGACCATTTTAATTAAAGCTGGTTTTATTTATTGTTTAGTTGTTAATGAAAATAAAGAAGCGGGCACATTTTACATTTATTCCTAATCTTTCATCTGAGAAAGCGATGATTACGCTTTGAGCAAATTGGTACCTGGTAGAACAAACTGATGTAAATAACATGTTGACATACAGTACATGTACATGTATGTCAGAGCAATGTGATATGAAAAACTTTAATCCCCAATTATTCAATTTCTTTAATATGTTTTTTGTTAACACTGAAAACTAATCCGTTTGTTAGAGGCAATGGATTAATTTCCTACAGCCAACAGTTCTAAGTTCCACAAAAAATAATTTAAAAATCAAGTTTTTCATATTTATTTGATTGTATAATGTCACTTATGTTATGATTAACATTGTGTTAAAATTTGGATTAAATTGATTGACTCAACGGAAAGTTAATTTTTAATCAATGGGTTTCCTCACATTTTTACTCCATTGTTTCTCTGCCATATTAAGTTAACAACAAACAACATTTAAGTGCCCCTCTTACACAGGCACAAACAACGACCCGTATTCACTCTGCCAACCACAAAAATAGTCTTGACACAGAACTGCTCAAATTTTAGCTAAAAACATTACGCATTTTATACAGGCCCGTACTTGACGAGTAACGATCCCCTCCCCTTGGCCAACAATTCTTTCAAAATCATGCACATTTTCACGATTCACATACATGTATTGATGACAGAGCAATAAAGGTAATGCTTTAATCCCTAAGTTTTTTCTATTTCTATGACATGAGTTTTGTTCACTTATAACTAATCCGATTGTCAGAGTTAATCCGTTTGTTAGAGTAAATGGATTGATATCTAGAGCCGATTGTTCTATTTTCCACAAAAATAATAATTTGCAAATTAAGTTTTTCATATTTGTTTAATTGTATAGAATCCCTCTTTCTATGATTAACATTGTGTTAAAATTTGGATTGAATCGATTAACTCATTAGAAAGTTAATTATTTTATTTTTTATTGATGACTTTTTCACATTTTTACTCAATTGTTAACATTAATTTAAAACAAGTTAAATTTCTTTCTTCTAAACATTTATTTGTAAATATTTTTCAAATAGAACTAGAACAGTCAAAAAAAATATGTGTGACATGTGTAAGTAATAGAGATGAGATGGCCAGTAGAATGGTTAATCCTATTAACTGCCATGCTGTGCATTCTTTGTTTTGTTTGGTTAAGTAATTAACCAGATGGATTGTACATCAAGTTGGACGAGAATAATCGCGTATAATATTTTTTAGAACCCAAATAATACAATATAATTTGATATATTCTGCTTAGATTGGAAAATACTAGAAAATAATATTTTTTAGAATAGAAAAAAATATAAATAGACTGCAATCATCAGTTTGGATTGATAAATATGACCAAATAATATTTTAAAAAGACAGAAAAAATATAAATTGGCGCAAATAATTCTAAAAAAGAATATTATACCGGGAATAAAACATTCTGCTACATTTTCTTATTGAGATAGTCGGATTTGGTAAATGTTTATATGTACAAATAATATATTTGGATCTCACTTATTTCTAATTATATTATATTAATCTCTATATAATATAGTATATTAAGCTGATTATATTTTTTTCCTTCATAATATAATATAATAATTACAATACTGAATGGAAATACTGTATTATTACGCATCTTTTTACACAAATATCCGAAAATAAGACATCTTTTTTTATATTATTTTATCGATTTCACCAAGTGATATACACTGTAAATTCTGCTTGTAATATTCTTTATCTTTTATTTTTGGTATCAATTATACTCAACAATATAGAAGTAGTCCACATAGAATACTCAAGGGGTCAATTTGTCATTAATAAATTATTTTAATCATTCAATATTATAAAAAATCAGTGATGAGTTCAAAATAGAGTACTAATAGACAATGATATAAAACTCTGACACACAAAAAAAAAATATTTAAGAAAATTACATAATATGTAGTCACACATTTATCTATTTATGTCCCAATTAGAGTGACATAAAAATGTCCAATTTTTGAACATATACCCTCCATTGAAAGAGGTGAACCTTTGAATTCTACCTACCAAAGACTCTGGCCACAAAACCCAGTGGGAACTGGGATGCAAAGAGAGTAAGAAACCATGGTGCAGCATACAGCGTTGGGACGATCTCATTGGTCTCAAAATGGTCATATAAATCCTTGTGACGATCGTGGATCAAACGTGAAAGCTGATACATCTGGATCTGTAAAGTATAGGGATAGGTAGTTGAAGTAATTGAGAAATATAAAATGTAATATTATCGATGTGATGTGATTGACACATAATGATGGCAGTGTGTACAAAAGTTCAAATTCAAAGTAAAATGCGTTGAGTAAATAGATGCTCACTGGGTTAGATTTGCGTAATTAAAAACAGAGATCTATACATTTCTATTTCCATCTGCTTTTCATCTATTAAATCAACAAAAACTTTTTTTTGCATGTTACATTTTGAGTTGACTTTCTCTCTACCTTTACATACAGTGCGTACTAACATTTCAAATAACCCATTTTTTCAAGGAATGAAAATCATTATTATGTTGCACGATGGGTAACTGTTACTGAGCATTCGGGGAATCCACCACCTTTAATGCAAACGTACCTGTAGTGAAGTCATATCAGGACGGTATTGTTTACGGAAGCCTAGGTTGAACATGACATACTTCATAGCCTCAAAGGCGCTGTCTTCACCCATCTAGAGAACATACAATAAAAAAAATCAGAGCTTTTTATTCAAAACACATTCTGACCTCCAAAAAAGCCATGGCAACATTGCTCTATATAACTGATTTCAAAAGTCAGATATTTTCTGATATCAAATGAGTAAAACTTGATGGATAATATTAATACCACATTGAACGAGTTAATATGATGAGCATTTCCAAGTGAAATCTTAAATTTCAAAAATATATAAATGCTGTACGGTATATACTTTGGTATAACTTTATTTTGAATTGGGAGTGCACAGTACCAATGCTATTCATATTGTGTAGTCCCAATCTGAAACAAAAGGTCCAGGAAACTGATTGGTTATTGAGCAAAAAATGCCTAAAAACTGTAACTCACTTAAAAACTTATAAGTAGGGTTCAACTTTACTTACATGCATTAGAAGTATTCCTGCTACAAAGCTAAGGCCCTGGCAGTATCCAACTTCTTGGTCAAGGAGACTGTAGGCTTTTAACAAATTAAACAAAGCTAACTGGCCTGGTCCCAACTGAGCAGCAAAGTAGGGATGACTGGGAAATGTACGTCCTGAAAATAAATATGAGATTTCTTTCAATCTTAGTTTACATTGCTGATACAAATGGACTTCCTGGAGCCCATTTTTCAAAAAAACTTTGTGGATTCAATTATCTTCTAAGATTTTTCTGTTTCTCAACATCGTAGAAAACAAAAATCATTGATCCACGTAATATACCAATACGCGATAACGTTTAGTTTTCGTCCAGTTTAGTTAACTCTCGTTTGAAGAGCTCTCATGTACGGTACAACTTCGTCTACATCCGGGTTCTTTCCCATTGGATTACACAGGGGTGCTATTTTCAATGCCGCACTGCGACTTTATTAAACATTTATGTAGAGTTGCATTTGCACAAATGATAGGTATATATGTAATTAAGATATAAAATAAGGCTTTTTGAACTGTAATCCCCACATCCGAAGAAATCTGCAGTTGAAAATGCCGTCCAATTCCAGTGACGTCACTGATTTTCCAAATTGCTCAGACTTCATCGAAGATCGAAAAAATATCAATAATGTTACTTCGAATCTCCGATTATCTTTCTGATTATTCAATAGATTGGATCACATAACTATACTTGAGGGGTGATGGAAGATCAGAAGCTGAGAAACGTTCAGATTATTCGACTCGTTCGGCGGGCCAATGAAAAATTGTCCCTTCCAAAGCGATGCATCATGGGAGATATTTATGTAAATTACCACCTGAACTCTTATAGCGAATAGGAGTATTGACAATGTCTTCCTGGCTATGTTTTCCAGGCAATACTTTCCTAAAGGATAGAGGATATCCTATGCTTTTTTAGGGATATCATTTTTATCCATGCGAAGTGGATAAAAATGATAGCCCGAGAAAATTATAGGATATCTTATTTATCCTATGGTTGCTATTTTTGTATTGAATTGAAATAGTTTGACCTAAAAATTGAGTAACTACGTTTTAAGAAAAGCTTGAGTAGTTATTCAAACTGAAAAAGTGTTATGCAAAGTGATTGCATGAAAACATTTAAATCATTTTAATAAGCACATAATGCTTGGAACTGTATTCTGGTAGTTCAATCAGCCAAAGCTGTTATTTGTTAAACCATTTTCGGCGCTAAATTCAAAACTAATGAAAAAATAGTATCCGTTGGATATCATGTCTTATTCCATAGTTAGCATGATATTCATAGGATAACATGTGAAAATAAAAACGGTATTTTTGTAATCAGTGGTAAAATATGATATTTTTGACAAACTTTCACTTAACCATAGCATACGATTTTTTAGCCATGACATACGACGTCGTATGCGATGGTTTATGGATTTTTGCTACTTCAGACTCAAAACGAGGCTAAGTGTCAACATCGCCGGATCGTTTGGAAAATTCGAATTAAATGACTTAATTTCCGACGATTCTGATGATGACTTTAACTATGGAATAAAAAGAACATCCTATGATTTACTCGTGATATGATTTTAATCCACTCATGGTTATTGATATCTGCACTCTCTCGCTACGCTCGCTCGTGCAGATATCATATCCATTCGTGGATAAAAATCATATCACTCATAAATCATATCCTCTATATATCAGTCGGATATGATTTTTCATAAATGAGATATGATTTGAATTGGGCATACCAAAATTATCTTGTGTTGTTATCCCCATTTAGTATCCATGGGATAAAACCCTGTTTTAATTGACATACATCAAAAACTCAAAAGGATACCTTCCCATGGAACTACCTGCCAGGGTCTGGTTGGGAGAACCCAGAATTTGCAAGCTGTCAGGATGACTGTTGTGGCCTTTGCCTCACCATTCACCCAATGCACTAGTTCACACAGTTCCCAATATGTGACCAGTGTACCCATCTAGGAAGATACCCTTATGGCGTCCCCATTTAGCTTATGCTTTGTCCTCGTTACTTAATTCAGTTTCAGTGACTTTGGTTATCTCAGTACTAATGGGCTTAACCCATGTTCCTTATATGGCATGCATTAGTTTAATGCATTTTCTCGATTGCCTTAACAGGCATTTCTCTGGTTGCCTTGGCCTTAAAGGCAGGCATCAATATGACTCAATTCAACTCATGTAGGCGTCCCTACAATTCACAGGAGATTTAAACTTACTTTATATACGAACAACAATTGTTCAAACTTAATTTGGGTGGATCTCATTTGAATATGCATAATGTTTTCTAGGCTTAAAATATGATATGAGTTGCATTGATATAAGATGTCACAAAGAAAATACAAGAATTCAAATTAGAAGATTTTGATGAAATAAATTTGATAATTTTTATGATAGTATTTGCCAAAAATCAGAAAAATAGAATTTTATTTTGTATATTTTGTATATTGTTCCACAAGATAACTCTAACTAGTTAAATAGTAACTTATTCTCAAGTATTCTAATAGTTTTAAACAAACAGAGGCTGTTTTGAAATACACATTGCTCATAAATTACTAATAAACCATTACTATTAATTTGTATCTAATCTCTTTTCACCTTTGAGCAAATTAATCAATATTAGAAGTAGAGCTTACAATTTTGTAAATCTTTTATAAATAAATAATTGTAAATAATTATAACAAGAACATGGCGACACCATCAAAAGATTTACATAAAAATCTGGCAACTGATGAGTTTATACGAAACAATTTATCACTAAAAATTAAGGAAACGAAAAACATGTATACCAGAAATTGTATTCTTCATTTTGATCATAAATTCAAGTAATTTACAAGGCATAAACAGGCCAAATGACTTCAGAGGTGACACCAACAATAGATCATACATACCAAAATCTTAACGCTGAATATCAAAGAAAATAAAGGCTATGACAATATGTCACCACTTCTTGGTGGTGCTATATTGAAAATACAAGAACATTCCAGTTCAGCATTCACCTAAGCCAATGAGTATTGCACTCATCTAGGTCAATGATTATTGCACTCAACTAAGCCAATAAGTATTGCACTCATCTAAGTCAATGAGTATTGCACTCATCTAAGTCAATGGGTATTACACTCATCTAAGTCAATGAGTATTGAACTCATCTAAGTCAATGAGTATTGCACTCACCTAGGTCAATGAGTATTGCACTCATCTAAGTCAATAAGTATTACACTCATCTAAGTCAATGAGTATTGCACTCATCTAAGTCAATGAGTATTGCACTCACCTAGGTCAATGAGTATTACACTCATCTAAGTCAATGAGTATTGAACTCATCTAAGTCAATGAGTATTGCACTCACCTAGGTCAATGAGTATTGCACTCATCTAAGTCAATAAGTATTACACTCATCTAAGTCAATGAGTATTGCACTCATCTAAGTCAATGAGTATTGCATTCATCTAAGTCAATGAGTATTGCACTCACCTAGGTCAATGAGTATTGCACTCATCTAAGTCAATAAGTATTGCACTCACCTAGGTCAATGAGTATTGCGTGCTGCTGAGTGGTCAACTGTTTAAGGAGTTCATGGTAAGGTATGGCTAGTTCTACGTTAGGGTCCCCTACTGATGGGTTGTGAAGTTTATGTTGTTCAATCATCAACTCCCAAACATCTCCTCGTCTGGTCCTTGGTACACCTACAATACAGTGGAATGAAGTGAAATACAGTGGCAAACAAGGATATACAGTGGAATAGAGTGAAATACAGTGGCATACCATGGAATAAAGTGAAATACATATATAATGTAATATATTGGAACATAGACAAAAACAGTGGCATTGTAGTGAAATACAATGGAATATAATATAATATAGTGGCATCGAATAAAATGCAGAGTAGAGTAATATAGTGAAATAATTTACATACAGAAAAATAAAGTAAAGTGTAGTCTGGTGAGCTGGGGCAATGTGCATTATTAATAATTCTAACAATTAAGGGGGTTTAATTCTTATCTATGATGCACTCGAGGATTTTAGAACAAATAATTCTTCAGCCAAAAGATCACTTTTCCTGTCTGTCCCTGTAATGTTCTATGGATCTGTACTTCCCCATGTGACCTTAACCCCTTGATCTTTCCAAATATGGTAAGAAGATTCCTTTTATGGTAAGTTTGACAAGCAAGTGTCATATGATGATGGATATGCTGAATTCATTGATAACTAGTGTCCCGAGACACTTTGACATATTAAAATCATACAATAATTATGACAATGTTTGAGGTTTCCTTGTTTTATTTAATTAGACTTATGATTTCTGCATTTGTATGTTTACAGTAAGTTTTACACTGGACTATATTGTTCAAGCTAATGTACTTGAAATATGTTTAAGGACTTAATTAAGGATTTAAGCCCTGGACTCAGTGCAATGTGGAATGACTGTTCCTTGAAGGTGTTGCTTTCCAAAATTTGCGCGAGAAGTGCAGTGTCTAGTGTGCAGTGTCTAATTTTATGAAACAATGCCTGAAATGAATGGTGATTACACAATGCATTGAGTCTTGGGCCTAAATTCTTTTCACACAGTGCAAAATATTTTCTACTATGTCACTTAAATGATACAAAATCACAAAATGAATATATTTTCAATGAAACTTTTTGCAAGGTCAAGTTGGCAAAGCATCAATTTCAATCTGTAGAATCAGGTTGTCACCTTGACAACCAAATAAGGAATGACCTTGGATGCAGTTATGCTTGGATTGGTAATATGAAATACTGTGTTTTGATTGGCTGGAATCGAACACACCTTGCCTAGCCACTGAATAGCTCAGATATTGCCACTATATCATTTCTAGGTACAGTAACGCTCTTTCCATCAACCAGTCCTGATCAATGACAAACGCCAGGTCTCTAGTTGTACATAGCAATTGCCTCCATGCAAGAAAAGTGCCCTTATCATACATTTATAGATAAAAATTGCCTTTTAATAAAACATCAAAAGGTTATGTCTAAATGTCAAACTCTCTGACAGCTGAAAATGTGATCATAAAAAATGCATAAATGGGTAATGTCTAACTGTAATTGCTGTTTGATTAATAGGATTGGAAAGATGTGAATAGATTCTCAATTGATTATTGACCTAAATTCTTCTGTGAGCTCAGTTTTTTTGAGTGCATAAGTATTTCTATGATCCATATAGCAGTATAAGCAATATTTTAATAGCCTTACTTCATGGGATCCCCCCCCCTATCTACTTCAACACCTTGTGGTTGTGTGAAATTGGGGTTACAAAGGCTAGCAGGTAGACTACAGCAATGAAAGGATAACTGAATTACAAACATTATTTCTGATGGGGGGGGGGGGGGGGTGCAGGAGCTTGATGAATACCTGAATGTATTTCTATCTAAGCCGAATGATCCAACATACATGTGCAGTACATTCAATATAAAGTCAGTGAAAAAAGACATGTCTTTCCAAAAATAAAAATAAAAAAGAATGACCAAAAATAATAAGAATGTACTGTTCCGTAAAGACTTAATAAATATTTATTACTAAAACAGTGAATGAATTTTATAGCCAATGATCTGGCCAACAATAGGACCTCACCTAGGGTTTAATTTTATCGAAGCGAAAAAAATTTATTCCAAAGTAACTCAAAGCATTTGAATAAGTGTGAACGCAAATGGCAACTGTAAAATATGGGTTTCACTGCCTTTACATAAAATAAAATAAAATGAATCCCAGCCAACTTGGCCATATTACAGATATTGAATTTTTGAAAAATAAGAAAATAGTTTTTTTTATTATGCAAACTATCAAATCGCACCTACCTTTACATATACACTCTTTAAGCCTGTGGTATTCAAACAGAGTCTTTTCACGGTTCGGTGTATGTAGCATCTCATCCCACTGTTTTGTGACGTCTTTCAGACATGGTGTAATTTCATGGTAGTCCAGTTTGACACGCTTGGCTTGCACAGCATCTTGACGAGCTAAAAAATGGTTAGAAAATTTAGAAAACAGAAATGAAACTATACATTATTGACGAATCTGTATTTTGAACATAACATTCATTGATCTTGGCTTATCGCACCTTCTACATTCAAAATATGACTAGTCTTTCTGCAGGTTGGCTAAAAGAAAAATACAGCATGATAATGCACCAAGAATCCTGCCATGATGAAACCTTAAGACGGGGGGAAAAAAGTTTGGTAGAGTACATGGGGACATTCTCGGCCATGGGAGATTCCTGGACAAGCCCTTGGCTTCAGGTGAAAATCTGGGGAACTGTTACTAAAAAACACTTTACAATTTTCAAGTTTATCACCATATTAATAAAAAACAATGTCCAAGTTTCAATAAAGAATTCATTGAAAAATTATTGAAGAGTACCTTTCAATGCCCCATGTCTGACAATTCCCCTATGCACATTACTTACCTCTGGATAAGGAATCCATAATTTGAATATAAACAAATGAATCGGTATCAAACACATTGAACTCATGCTAGTAATGTGTGGTTTTATGATTGCTCGGAGGTGTAATTTGAATACATGTACATATTAAAGTTTAATAGATTTACAAAGGTCATCTAGGATTGTTTTCCAGGCTTTTAATGAGTCAATGGCCTTGTTATTCAACAGGTTAAAGCTCGTAGCATTCTTAATTTTCCTAGCTATTACACGTATTACAAAATGTAAGATGTCTGATGTGATAGATTAAGATCTTTTCAGATTTTTGAAAATTCTCTAAAAACTGACATGAATATAGTTAAGTTAGTCTCTTGGTTACCTATATAATGTAAAGCATCTTAAATAATAAACAAACTGATCTTAATGAGAAAAAAATGTTAAAATCTGTATTTTATCAATAAAGTAACTTTTTAGGTTGTTTTAGAAAATAGCCATTACAATTATACAATGAATAAGACAGAATTTTTAAGAAAGTTGGTTTCTATTTCTGATTCTACTGTTTCCAAACACGTGTATCTATAACAATTGAGATTCTACAAAGAATTTGCAAAATGTCTAAAATAGGCTTTGGGAAGGAATGAAATAATGGGTCATATACTCAACTTTAACCTAATTTGGTGCCATCTATCTCTGAGTTTTAGCAATTTCAATATCATAGTGTTCGAATTATTTTGGAAGATTTGTATTGTATCGAGCATTACCGAGTTGACAGATCATCGTGAAGAAATTCACTTCATTAAAAAATCTGACAACCATAAACCTGATCCTCAATCTCTCTAAATGAGATATTATGTTTTTTGACATATTTGTTTACGTATGTTGAGCCATTGACCCGAATAGCATTTATTCACATATTGATCTAACCTTAAATTTAATTAGAATGACGAAATCTACTGACAAATCCTAGATTCGTAAAGGTTGGATGTATTGTGGTTTGTGTGCTTGATTGTATTGCATATAAATAGCTTTTTACTATCAATTTTTCTTCATTAGTTGACATTTATATTTCAATGCAGGTGAACGCACTATCCCAAGTAAATAAAAAAAAACAGGTCCAATTAGTTAATCCAAATGTTCTCTCTGTATATTTCATAATAAGGCATTAACATACAAAATATCACCACTTGCCATTTGTTACAAATACCACCCGTTGCACACCAAACACCAACTGCCAAACACTAACTGCCAAACACCATTGTTGGAGACTATAACAATATGTCACTACTTCTGGTAGTGGCATAACAAGCCCAATTAATAAATCATTATGCTATCTCTGTACATTTCCAAAAAAAAAGTTTTTCATACATATATTTTCATATATATTTACCTCCAAAAGATGCTAGTCCCCGTTTGATTGTATCTGTTAACTTCATTTTCATTAACTCCACCATTAAGGACAATATCGCAGATACCAGTAGTATGATTATTCTATTGTTTTCTATTGCCAGATCAAAATAATATCCAAGTTTTTGCCATAAGTTAGAATTGGATTATTTTCTATTTGGTTTTCCAGTGTTTTCAATTAATTGATTTTCGACATAATTTTCCATTGTTTTATCCTTAACCAGTCTTTCTCTTATATCAGCAAACTGTTAGTGAATTGAAGTTAATGCAAACTGGCTCCCATTAATAACTTTGTTATCTCTATGATTCTTAGCCAATATATACACATTACTGGGCACTTACAGTAAAACCTGTTAATGTGAGCACCTCTCTTTAGTGAACACCTATCCCAAGTAAACACATTTTCTCTGAACACACATCATTGATTTGTATACGCAAATTTCTGTCGCAAACACCTATCTACTTTCTATCTCATACAGTGAATACTTTTTTGTGGTTCATAGTCACAAGAAACAGACCCATATTTAGCAATAAATAGCTTAAATGGCCATATTTAGCAATTAATAGCCCAGATGCCCATATTTAGCAATTAATAGCCCAGATGCCCATATTTAGCAATAAATAGCTCAGATGCCCATATCTAGCGATAAATAGCTCAGATGCCCATATTTAGTGATAAATAGCTCGGATGCCCATATTTAGCAATTAATAGCCCAGATGCCCATATTTAGCAATTAATAGCCCTGATGCCCATATTTGGCAATAAATAGCTCAGATGCCCATATTTAGCAAAATATTGCTCAAGTCTCAGATATTTAAGAGCCATATCCCCATAATATATGGACTATAATCAGGACGAAATATGAAACTGTAACTGTAAGGAAGAAGACAGAGGCATCACTGACATATCTCAATTTCACAGTTCATTGGATTTGAAAGTACATCATGATCACACAAGACGATTTATTTGAGATTAGACAATTATTTAATCAATTTTTTCTTTCAATCAAGACAACCTTTTGAAATAATTTCTGAAACCATAGAGCTAAGAAGATCACTGGATAAGGATTCAATGAGGTGTGATGTCATATTATAAGTAGGTCAAACAGGTAAGGAATGATCAGTCCCCAAAACCAACATTTTCTCTATTTTCTAATCTACTGTTTTAAAAAAAAATTCTCGAACTAAATTGTTGGTATTAAAAAGTAGCAGTACAGTAAAACCTTTCTTAGTGAACACCTCTCCCTAGTGAACACCAGTCCGTAGTGAACACCATTTCTTGGCTCCAATGTTGTTCACATGTTATATTTACCCTTTATAAAGGGGTAAACTTTCCCCAGAGGATTGACTTTCACTCATACCATCTGGGTTTTTAGGGTAGGTCTTATTGTAATCAAGTTGCAACATTAAGAATGAAGGTTAACTTGAGCTATTCTATTTGACAAGAACAGACTTTATATAAGTCAGAATGTCAGACAAGATCAATCATAGATTGCGCCTGTTGGATTGAATCTAACCAAAAAAACAGTTCTAAATTGTCGGTTAGATAAACCATGATAATAGTTCCGGATATGTCAAGGTTTTGAATCAAAGCAAATTACAAAATTATTAAATGGATCGTTAATCTCTCATTTGTAGATGTTTATTAAAAGTACACTATTTTGAATATTGTAAGAAATGTAATTCATGACCAGAAACTTAGCCCAATATACATATACTGTATATAATAGTGTTAATTGATTTAACAACAGTTGTATACCTTAACATGTATAAGTCAGCATAAGAGGTGGGGTAGATAACAGCTATGTTATCTTGATAAAGATCAAGTCAGAAGTTAGTCCAGAATCCAGATCAAATATTTTTGATACAATTCTCTCCTACAGATACATAACCTCAAATTAAAAAATATTTTGCAAACAAAATCTAAAAAATTGATGGTGATGATTTCCCTACCAATATATTTTATTATGATTTTTTTTTGATTGACATTGGATTGTTTTGACCTGACCCCTATCTTTGATATCATATCAATAGTAATATAAAAAATAAATTACAAATAGCAGATATGGCCATGAAAAAAGTATGTGATTTGAACAGTATAATGGTTATAATTTAGGGTGAATTGAGCGTTTGATTCAAAACTTATTTTATCATTAAAGAATATCTTATTCAATTCAATTCTATTGCTTTTGCAATAAATCTGGGTGACTGGTAGGCTCATTTATCAAAGCTCTACCCTCTCCTGTTCAACAATTCTTAACTTATTCTTAACTAAGCACATCAGTTCCAAAAGTCCCCAACTAAAGTAAAGTTAATTAGACTTTGACTTCATGTGCAGAATAGATTTGTTTTTGAGATATAGCAAATTATATAACTAATAACTTTAACTGGAAAAACTGTTAAAATATTTGATGTACATAGAGACAAATGGGCTCAGCGCAAAAATTGCAGGGCTGGAAAAAGAATTGTTTAAAGAATTGTTCACCCAAGTACCATAACAGCCTTCTATCAGGTCCTTTTTTGGTATATAGTAATTCAAAAGACATTCCCCTTATTATGGACAATGATTTCCGATTCAATGATTTCAGATTAAAGTCTCAGCCACATTTGATCTACAGCAACCATATGGTGTCCAAACTTCCGAAAATCAAAATAAATATGCAGCATAAAACATAGGGATAAGCAGTACGATTTAAATTTTCTAAATCAATTTTATGAAGCTACAGCCAATGTAGAGCTGCCATAAAGCAAATTGCTGAGGCTAAGATCATTAGTAAGTTAAATACAAGCCAGATCAAAGAATCATGCATCATTTAAAGAGTGTAATTGAAATGAAACTCTTGTCAAGGGTATACAGAACGAGGACAGATTTCAAGCAGGTTATAACCTGATGCACTCTACATGTGAAGTATTTGACACGAATTGACACGTGTGAACTTGAATCACGTGAAATAACTCTCGCATATTTTTCTTCAAGAAAAACCGTGAATAAATGAGATGGTCATATTTAAATACAAAAATTCAGCAAAATTGGAACAAAATATTCCACTTATCTATTAAAATGTAAATATTTCATAAGAGTTCGTAAAATGTTGACATTGTTTAAGGTAAATCATCGTGAATGAACATGATCAACATGAAATAGAAGGCGAGGTTTATTTATCAACACATCTGGTGAATTCCCAGGACACACGTTTCATAAGTTCTTTAATTGGGTGTATATTATTCAAGATTAGAAAATCATGTGTTTCACAAGTATAGGAAATAATCATTGGGGGCCATTGTTAACGTAGTTTTGCAACTGAAAATGTAATGCAATTAAAAATATTTCCAAAAATCTACAACTGGCACGTGAAGTTTATTTAATAGGGAACTTCTTCACCTTCAAAACTACAATTATTTACAATATGGCATTTTAATTTCTCTATCCTTGCTTAATATTGGATAGAAAAACATTGCTTCATCTGAAGTTTCGGCTGGCAACAGACAACTTTCTCAGGTTGATTCTACCAAAATTGCCTGTTGCTTGTCCCGAGTTTTGTTTTCATGTTGATATTAAAATTTCAAATAATTTCTTGTTGTTTTCAGTTGTTTTGCCTGTTATCAAATATTCTAATAAAATTCATGTCATCGACCAATATTTCAATCACAATATACAAGTACAACATGGTGTAAAACCTGTCGAGGTGGAACACCTTTGGAACATCTAAAAAGTGTTCCACTTCTAGAGGTGTTCCACATTACATGTTTCACTGTACAATTACTACTATGAACTACATTCCATGCTATATGTACTACTCTAGAAAACAACACCAAGCAATATAACTCGAAACAAGCAAACTAACTACTAAAGAGAGAGAAAACACAAGATATCATAAATTGCAACCAAGCGTACGTAGCCTTGCCCAAGTCGGTATTTTTTACTTATCTGATCTTGAATTATTACCATAATAGAAATCAAGATAAGTAAAAGAGACTGACTAAGGGCAAGGCTAAACCTAGCACTGAGTCAAGGTAAATATACTACCGTATATATACTAACTGAAAATTATGATAAAGAAAAAAGGAAATCTTATACTCTAAGCTAATAATATGCTAAGCTAACAAGTAACATTCAAATAGAACTACCAATCTCTGTGAGATCTCGAAGTCAAAAGTTCTGCAAAGACAAGACTATAAAAGTTTCAACCCTCAACCTTACAAAATGGCACCAGACTGACCATCAACTCTACATATACAGGGTGTTTCAAAATGACTATTCCCCCATCAACTGTTGCTGCTAGATATCACAAGATTGGCTGTGAAAGAGAGAAAGTCTTTATGGAACACCCTGTATATGTATGTACAATATAGGTCTCACCTAACCCAAAGGACACATTCTGACCCTCAACTACATAGGGTCTTACCCCAATATAAAGTACAGGAACCCTTAGCCTTAAATAAGGGCCTTACCCCTTGATACCGATTCATACAGCATTCCCATTGTTTGCAGGTCATCATGGGCTGATTGAACTGTTAAATGTGACACAAACTTCAATTTTAGTAAAGGATGTCTTTAAACATAAACCATCAAAGAATTTTCTCTCATGGTACAAATAAGTTGTTAATAACAGAGAGGCTCATGGGAAATATCCCCCTCTGAAGTGAAGTGACATCTATACATAAAATGATTGGTGTTTCCTACATAACTCAAATGACATCTATACAAAGTGAAATGCTGAAACTATAAGAGAGGTCCTATTCATAATGGCTTTGAAATGAGACAATAGCAATTTCGAGATACAAAAAAAATGACTATAATGTAAAGTATTGATACAAATATGAAGCAATGTGATGAACCTAAAACACACAAGATGCACAATACAATACAAGCAACTAAATGACATTTGACTGTAGCTTGCATCTTTAAACTTACCTAAAAACTACAAAGGTGACAAAAACTACACACGAAAAGACTATTATACACACGATTATATAAGCCATCATGATAACACTGTTGCTCAATTCCTACCTTTGACCGCAAGGATCCAACTATTAAAAGCTGTAGCACCATCAAAAATGCTGCCTGTTTCACAATGAAATTAGTTATTTCAACCAATGAATGAATCATGGTATACTCAAAAAGCAATATTAGTGAAGCTAGAAAAAACAAGCCCTAAAAACACTGAAAAAACACAGAATTCAATGTCATGTGCTGTAGGATAAATGTGTTGAGAAATAGGCTTTTGCTGATTTCGTATTATCACTAATTCAAACAGCACCATGGTAGCTATAAAGTTTGCTGTTGAAATGATGCCATGAATTGACATCTTAATGTATACCTTGAGGGGCTTATGATCACAAAAAACTTTGCCTGAATGTTTAAAGTTGGAAGGCTTTTGAAAAGTGAATACATTAAAGGGAATTTAATCAAAACATACCTTGAAGAGTGTGGTTCTCTTTCTCCATTCTGATCAGCAGTATGGTATCCTGGATTGCTTTCTTCCAAAGCATATGGATGTCTTCCTTACAGGAGAACCTTCTCCCTTCAGGTGGATGCCAGGGATCATTCTCCAGTAAATCATCTAAAATCAAACAAAAATATTCCTAATATTCAGGCTACTACACTTAGTTTCTGTGTAGTTCATCCATTTGGTATGTATCCTGGTGAAAACTTTGGTGAAAAATTGACTCAACTGAATTGTTGAAAAGACAAGTCTCGGTTTGGAGAAGAGTCTACTCGGCTAATAATTTTTTTTATGAAAAATGTAGAAATAACACCCAAATTAAATTATGCATATTCAAAAGAAAACATTTAAATCTATAATATGTAAAAGTATCAAAATTGTCCAAGCAGGCCTAACGTGCAGTAGACTGATAAACTTCGTTTTCCAAACCGAGACTAGTCCTTTGCTCTGGTACACACAAAATCTTACTGTCAGCAGAATTGTACCGACATTTCCACAGTATATCTCAAAACATACAGTATGACTTTATGGAACTTTAATGAAGACGTAGAGTATTAGAGTATGTTTTCCAGCATAAATGTGGAGAATAGATTAACATCAATGCAATACAATTCACAATGCTGTACCTGTTATACTGTGTGATTCTCTACGACTGTGTCTTGCAGGAGTCACAACTTTGTTGAATATCCCCATCCTGTATGACTGCCGTCTGCGACGTGCCTCACCAGCAGCAGGAGTGACCTGATTGGTCTCTGCTGCATCATGGCCTGTGGGGGTCTCTGGTGGGGTGTGGTGCTCAGCAGGGGTTGTGCAGCCTGACCCAGGGGATAGCAACGGAGAAGTAGAACCTGAACTCATGTGACTTCCATCAGGAAGAGCACTTGCTTGAATAAACCTGAAAATGATTATCAGATTGTAATAATAACATTAATCTGCACAATCTGCCTAAAACTTTAGATATGCCTAAATCTGCCTAAAACCTTACATATGCCTAAATCTGCCTAAAACTTTACATATGCCTGAATCTGCCTAAAGCCTAAATCTTTACATATGCCTAAAACTTTACATATGCCTTAATCTGCCTAAAACTTTACATATTATAGATTAGGTACATGTCTATACAATGTGTACAATACAATACAGTGTTGCCAATCTTCTGAAGCAAATTCTGCTTTTTGCGATACAGGTAGTTATGAGAGAATTTTTTGTGAATTATCCTACCAATTTATTTAATGATAAAATTTTTTTCATCACTTTAAAATCTTACATGGATTTTCTACTTCTAGGTGGACTCTTTTGAGCGACAGGTTTATCCTGTTTCTGTTCAGTTTTAATTTCAAGCAGTCTAGAATGCTGGAGTGCCTTCAACTGGTTATCATCCAGAGTACTTCCTATCGTCGAACTTCTCGGGCGCCGAGACTCATTCACGATTGTGTCGAGGATTGGATTGCCTTCTGTAGATGGTGATCTCTTTGGAGATGGAATTCCCGGAGACCGTTTCCCAGAAGGTGATGTCTAAAGACAAAGTACAAAGACTCAAGATTTAGCTACGCTTAAGAGGAGGTCGGGTGATTATGTTAAAGCTTGGCCTGTTGTGGGTAAGGCCTGAGTTCATTGGTAGGTTCATTGGTATGCTCCCAGATTGGCTCCTAATTTTATCGAACACATTCTAAACTTGGTATTTTTGTGAATTATATCCTGCCAAATTATTTAATGATAAAAATCCATTTTTATTCATTTTAAACTCATACATGGATTTTGGACTTATAGGTGGACTCTTTTGAGCAACAGGTTAATCCTGTTTCTGTATTGTCAGAGGCGCCAGGGAAATAAGCCAATTGGGCCAAATGAGGAAGTATAATGACAGTAGTTACCTTAGCAACAGGTATTATGACTAATTTCTATTCACCTAAAATCTTACATCGATTTTCTACTTCCATGTGGATTTTTTGACCGACACATTTATCCTGTATCTGTTCAGTTTAACTTCAATTACTTCAATTTCAGGAGATTTTGGTCTTTCAAAAAGCTTTAAAACGTATACAAGTTTTATGCCCTTGACCGACAATCCATGATAAGACAATTACATTTTAAATAATACAGTGTTGAGGAAGAAATACCCAGAATTCTTAGCTGAACCTATGTCCATGTTAAGATGAAATGAATTCTGGAGTATTTTCCCCTCTTCATATTGTGAGTAGTCTTACCGAGGGGTCATATGCGTGACTAGCAAGCGATTCAGATGTGAAACTCCTCTGACGAAAGTGAGGAAACTTTTCTTTCTTTGAACCAGCCTAAAATGTTAGAAATAAACGTAACATAACAAGTCATCTTCCAAAATATTTTTGACACATTATTTGGAATACAGTTTTAAGCTAAATATGATTTTAATGATTTGTTTTGAGATTTTCTAATTTTTCTAGATTTTTGTTGTTTCTCCTTAAAGATGAATGTCTTTAATCTTTATGTTATTTCTATTTATAAAGCTATATGAATCAATCTTGTATTAAACTAGCTCTAAGTCCCTTTCAGTAAGACATCATCTCAATTTTGATTTTTCAGAGGTCATGTGATAAACAAATGTTTCATTTGCTAAAAATGTCAAATTGTATTTATCGATTGCACAAAGAATGTAATGCAAAATTTTTTAGGCAATCTCCACTGTGTAGAAGTCTTATATAAAGCTTACCTTCAGAAGATTCTCAAAGGATAGGGCAAGAGACTTTTTAGCTTTGGTTTTGAGACTATCAAATATGGACGCCGTTTTCTTTGCATTATCCATGAGGTGAAACTAAAAAAGAGACATATTGTGTTTAAATATAGAACTACAATATATAAGGTATACATTAATTGATAAATTCATTTATTCATTTTACCTATTTTACAAAATGTCAGCCTTACTTACACAAAACTTTTATACCACAATTATAGCAATATCAACAGTAAAACAAAAATTGAACTAAACTTTTATTATTTAAGGAATGTCATTTTTTCTTGTAGAAAATATTTCCTGATTTCTTCCATTCTATGCTTACATGGACACTAATTCATTGACAGACCATCAAGCCAAAAGATGCCCTGTCAAACTCTTATAAAGTGTATTTTGTAGGTAGCTTCTTAACTGAAGCACTGAGGCTCATGAACTTAAGTTAATCGGTGCTTAACAGAAAAATTACCCAGATAATCTAGCCATTCACCCATCTCAAGAACAAATTACAATACAGACAGGCTCCCATTCATTTCTATTAAGTAAAATTCAAGGGAGTCTTGTCTATGCAATATAAGATGAATTAGAGAAGAATAACCTATTAAGAATAATTCCACAGAGGAATGGAAATAGAAATGTATTAAACAATCTGTTTCTCATCAACAGTTTCTCGACCCATTGTGGTATTTCATGTGACTGAAGGTATACACTGGAACAAAAGCACACTCTAATATAGAAAAGGGGACAGGGTTAACATGACTATGGTTACAATTAAGTAAAGACTATTCAAATATTTGTGACTTTACAGACCCGTAGCCCCCCCCCCCATGGCCAAAAAATCTTTCAAAATCATGCAGTTTTTCACCATTCTGAGCACTTTTTAAGTGATTTGGGCCATTTTTGGACCAAGATTGTCACAAGTGAACCCCCCCTGAAATTTTTCAAAAAGTGAACCCCCCTTGGCAAATCCTGGCTACGGGCCTGCTTTATAACAATGAATCTTGATAAAGCCTGGAGTTTTCTTCATAAAGATCATCAGTCAATTCAGGATGTGTCCAACTGTTGACAGTTTTCTATCGCCCATATATTGTTTTAATATATCGATTTGTCATTCACAAGAACTTCAGTTGAAAATAAACATTTTCTACAAGCAACCCCTCAATTTACTGACCCCCTTATACAACTGATGATAATTGAACGCCATCTCATGTGTTGTCATTTTTAATTCTATCCCCTCAGATATATGCACTTAAACTATTTATTTTATGCAATGGGATACTGAAGTTATCGTGATTATGCAAATTGGAAAACGGGAAAAATTGGTGGATTTTCAATTTTTTGTGATATTCCTTCCACTGGGTAGTCAACGAGTAAAATATATATCAGCTTTTATTAGACATGAAAGAATACTACTCCATGCGTGATAAAACATCATCAAATAAGATTCTATTTTCCATCAACAAGTGCTTATCAAGTAGAGAAGTGAGATTTGCATAGTTCAGTAATCTTTTATATCATGAGACCAAGTGTCACAAAAGGGTGTACCTTGTTTTGCACTAGTACATTTTTCCTCCTACCCTTTTTAATATTTTGATTCTGCATCCTTAAAAGAGAGCTTCATCCTGTCAATTACACATGTAATGTGTGCCTACATTCGTAAATAAACTGTAAATATACTCCATTGCTTTTCTAATGAATAATTATCCCTCTTATTAATTTATTAATTACAATGTCGATGCCTGGCAAAAATGTTTTCAACCGAGTCGTGAACTCTGCATCTTTCTGCCTAACAGTAGGAAATACGTAGATGCCATAGTTTATAATGATTTCCCTATATACAAATTGAACGTAACTGCCTCAAGTGAACCGTTAATCAAATGGAAATTAAAAGGAATGGCACAATAAGAAACAAGTTATCAATAGGCAAAATGTCACCTCATGCCATTTGTTACAGATGCCAAACGCCAACCAACAACAGCCAATATCGTCCACAAAAAAGTTTGAGACTGTAACAATATGCCACCTCTTGTGGTGGTGACGTAATAAAAAAGAGATAAATATGAGGGTTAATATGTAGGGTTTTGAAAATCGTAGGAGTGAAAAATTGTGGAATCATTGTGAAATAAATTTAGCAGGCCTTAATGTAATGTAAAGGTGTTGGACTATCAGTCAGTTCATTGCAATAATATAGAAAATGTACATAGCATAGCTAATAGCATGCATGACTGTTTTCTGACTAACCTCAGATGTTTTCGATTTTTCTTCATTATAGGCACTAATGTGGACATGTTCCTGTTGCCTTGCCTCACAAATCTGTCTCAGCGATGACATCAGAACTTCATTCATTTCCTCATAACTCTGGGGATTCTCCTCCTGTAAACACAAGATTAGGAAATAAGAACATAGGAACACTGGGGATTTACCTCCTGTAAACACAACATTAAATAAGAGCATTGTAACTCTGATCAATCTGAATTGTGAAAATAAGAATCCTGAAAATTGTTTGAGAGAACACTACATGGTAGTGCATATATAATATGCCTGTAGCTTAAATTGAACAGCCTAATAACATGATTTATCATTGTGGAGTCTGATATCAGATATGATCAAGAAAATAAAATTTCTCAATAACATGAAAGGTGTCTTTAAAGGACCTTGTATCTTTCAACAGGACCATCAGATTAGGGGGGTACGTTGGGTGTGATCTCACCCTACAATCTTGTCCATTTGCTATTTACATTGTTTTTAAAATTTGCACCTGTATGTAATATTGAGGTCATTATCAAATTAAGTAAATTAAGCGATCATAATAGACTTGAAATCAGCACATCTCTGAGGTTATACTTCCGGTGAAAATTGTGAAAGCGCACCCCATTTTCGGAAAAGTGTCTGATAAGCCTGTTTATTATGTTCTCCTTATTTAAAAATATGGTAAAACATGATGCCGCAAGGGAAATACCTGTTTTGAAAATGTGGAAGAAAGTGAGGAAAAACAATATCAATCATGTACTCGAAATATTATCTTGGTTGATTTGGCTAATTCCCTACATCTAAGAGACACTTGGGATATATAAATCATTTCTGTCTTTTTAATAAGCAGTATTCTTGCTGATGATTCGTTGGCTGATGAAACTGAATTTAGTACCTTAGTAATTCTCTCAGATACAATTGAGGGATTGCTTTGTTTAACTTATAGGTTTATATCATACATTCATATGCAAGGTTGGGGTGAATTCCTTCCCGGGCGTTTCATGTCGACATATAAAATTTACAATAAAAATATCTGTGAGATTCAAATATTTTATAGGGGGTGAGGTAAATGGCTATTCTGTTTCATGATGCCCTTGATTTTTGTTTTTTTCAGCGATTTTGGCGAATATGTTGAAGTAACATTTGCGGTTTCATTTTGTTGGAAGTAGAGTTCATTAAACTGACCCCTAGCTATTCCAGAGGCAATGTTGTAATAAACAGTATATAGCTCAATCAACTTCACATTCAATATTCGATCTAGCTTGAAATCTACTTCGAAAATGTCACAAATTATGTTTTCCATTATCGTTGATTATAGCGGTGCTTATTGAATTGAGGAAATTCTACAGGTTTTTGATGAGATAGTTAGATAGCATGCAATCTCGCTACTTGATGGGAAATATCAATGTCATATATAGAGCTGGATTATAAAATCTAAATCACTGAATTGTAAAATCACAAAAAATCATCCAAGGATAACCTCTGCAGTTTGAGACTGTATTATATCGACATGTGTAATATAAGAATCTTATCTAAATATATGTTATATTATTGCACCAAAGAAAGTTCAAAAACTGTTTTGTTTTTGTAGCTATCCTTTGATTGACTACAGAAAGATATCAAATTAGATTTGGATCTCTGAATAAATATACTATTTAAATATTCAACAAAAACATGTGTGGGATACTGTTATGTTACCAAAAGTAATGAATCCCAACGAATGACACTTCCACACAGTTTCATAAACATAATGCATTTCTGTGACATCCTATCCTTTTAAAGTAAGATAATAATATGACAGAAAGGAGGACTGGATCTCAGGGACGCAACTCAATATTTTCCAACAATTAATCTGATCTTGAAGGATGTTGCGATGTTCACCTCAAATTTTGAATCGCGCGTTTTGGCATTATCAAATAACAAAAAATTCAAAACGCACAAGAAGTGATCAAGATAATTAGCTCAAATCTGTTGGTTTGCTTATTATATAATTTTATAACCAGTTCATAAATGGAAAATATCGAGATTGCATTCTGGGATCTAATCCTCCTTAACGATAGTGAACATTAAACCGTTTACTCTAAAAACTCATAATAATCTGTTATATCACCACAATTGACAATGCTTCTACTGAAAATTAAAGTCATGGGGATTAAAGGAAATAAAGACTTGATTACTCATTCTTTAATGTCACCATGACAATGCTTTACAATCCCAGGGCCTAAGGCAAAGATAAGTGAATAAGTGTTTAACATTCATTAATTTTTGATGAGGGGATGAGTCATTTAGGCTTTCTTTTTTTCCTATTTGCTCTTCTTTATTTAATGTTTTGAAATAGGCATATAATAAGGAATATTAAAAAACTTCATCAATTTACCATAGAATGTCTGAAGTCTGTCAATTCTAATATATTAAAGCAGGCGTTTCACTAGAATAATTTCTCACAACAGGCTCAATAAATGAAAACAAGAGGCCAAGTTGATGGAAATCATAAAGGATCTAGTGCACCCGCCATTATGATCTCCCCATGAACAAAATGAATCATTTTTAGGTGTAACATAAAGAATACAATGTCATATAATACTGTGGAAAATATTTAAGCGTTTGGACCCACATGGGCTGAGGTTGAGGTCATTAAGTTCAGCAAGGGTGTATTGACTTGCCATTGGATGTGCTCCATTGACTTAACATGTGGATATCATCAGATTCCAATGGAGGCCATTGGTTTCTATTGATTTTCACAAAAATACCTAAAATACACTATGACCTGAATCACTGCTACCCACCTAATTACACAGACGTATCGTCGGTGTATCATGGCGGAACTTCCTCCGGGACTAGGTTTCGGTAAGATTTTTTTATTTCCCGATTTACACCTACTTATAAGTCACGTTGTAGATAATAATTTGGCTTGAAGTTAAGGAATATAGTCTAGTTTGAGAATGTGTCGATGGTTTTAGGTTTTATATGTTAACAAAGACACAATTCACGTATTTAGTCCCTCGCTTTTCTTACACTGACGAACGACCAATGTCAGTGTAATATTGGCAATATTAATGCCGATCGTCAGTGTAAGAAAAGCGAGGGACTAAATACGTGAATTGTGTCTTTGTTAACATATAAAACCTAAAACCATCGACACATTCTCAAACTAGACTATATTCCTTAACTTCAAGCCAAATTATTATCCACAACGTGACTTATAAGTAGGTGTAAATCGGGAAATAAAAAAATCTTACCGAAACCTAGTCCCGGAGGAAGTTCCGCCATGATACACCGACGATACGTCTGTGTAATTAGGTGGGTAGCAGTGCTGAATCGATTGCAAATTAAATAATTTCACAATATGACACAAATGGTATATCACATCAGATGTGCAAATATAAAGTTTGCAATCGATTCAGGTCATACTTCAAATTAAAGGCTTAGACATTTTTTTCATCATTTTTTTCCTACAAAATGGCTATAGGAAAATGCTTCAAAAGCAACTTTTACACTTATGAAATCCCATACAACTTTGTAAATCCAAAGATTATACTGTTATGTTTCATGTATTAATAACATATTTGGATAAGATGTAGGGATGTGTAGGATGCAAATGGATTTTGACAGACACAAAAACACTTCCTGGTTTGGCATCTCGACCCCTGTACACTTTATGATTGAATATTGGCCCTAATAAGTGGCCCATTCATCAATACAGTGCTGAATATAGGTCAAAAAGATACTAGTGTACATATAAATGTAATAATAAAAGCAGTATTTTTATTTTGAAAAATCAGATGAATTATTTTTTTCTCATGGGGAGATCCCAATGGAGGGTGTATAAGGTCCTTTAACATGGAAAAGTTGAACGTTTCTAAAAACAACAGGCGATTTTGTGAAAACAACCAGCAAAAATCGCCTGTTGCCTGCTGCTTAAGAAAGGCAAAGTGCAAAGGTTTTCATGCCAGTATTAGGGCCTATGTGTAACAGGTCCTTCTCATGCAATTTTTTGGCCCATTTTGCCTTCTGCCTTCCTTAACTGGAGGTCTGTGTTTTACATTTCTTCAACACTTCATTTTGAATTTTAAAATAAAGCTTTATAAAACACAGGGATTCACATATATGAAAAGATTATATATATTAATACATCTTACAAGAATGAAAGGGTGAAATATTGAATTAGACACATTAAATACAGAACAGTATAAAAGAATTGGGAGGATACACTTTTAAATGCAGATGGAATGGAAGGGAAAATAGACACACAAAACGCCTTAATCAGTTACCTTAAAGTTCTTAATGAATGATAGAAGTTAAAGTAAAAGTTTAAACTCTGATGTCATTTTCACGCTAAAATACCTTATATTTAAAGGGTTCTGTTTCTAAAATACCCTAGATTTTTGTTTTATTTATTACAGCCTCTAATTTGCATCATTAGCATACTTTATTACAGTTTCTTTCCAGTGCAACAGATTTGGTTATGACCTGCGGAATTAGGCACTCAGAACCAGATCAAAAAGTCAACATTTCAGCTCAGTTATGGAACAAGAAAAATTTTTGGCCCTCAAATTGCCATAAAACTGCATTTTTCTTTCAATTTTTTGCTCTGAGAGAAGTTCATCTTTTTCACTCATTTTCATTGAATCTTCGCTACCAGACAGAACTAGTCAATCAACTTCTTCTAATCTAATACACAAAGTCACTATGTCCCAAACCTGAAATTGTTACGTTCCAAAGCCTAATTCCGAACTGAGCCACTCTGATTTTTTCCGTGACACCTCTAGAAAATACCAAGGCTAGAAAAATGGTCATCTAATAAGCAAAATGACATGTGCAAATTACAGAGTGTAGATGCACTTCTTATATTTCTAAATGCAAATTACAGTACAGTAATTCATTTACTATGCAAGCAGTTTTTTCAAGCTCTAATATCTTCAAAAAATTAAGTGTAATAAAAGTTTACTAATGGTGCAACTCACAGTAGGCTATTCTGAATTATTTTTAATTGTATCTTAGTTTCAGAAGTAGGGAAGGAGCACACGGAAGTAAAGTTATTATAACACATAGAAAAAATCATCATCAAACCTTCAATATTCTATCCCAATAAAGCTGAAATATTAAAGAACATAAATAATGTAAACTATTGTACTCAAAAAAGTAAACACATAAGTAAAAACGAAATATGTAAAAACTACTTATCATTGAAAATAAAAGCAAACAAAATATTTAATCAAAAATTTCTCCGAAGAAGAAAACAAACTAAACTCGAACAGAAATATAAGTTGGAATATGAACAACTCGATGTGCTTACATACAGCGCAGAGGATACTGAGCATGACATGGTAGTGAAGAAATGATCCTACAAGTAGATTTTACCTTAAATCGTGTAACAATTTCCGCCTGTTCCTTCTCTCCAAGTTGATCTATCCTGGCCTGGATAACATCAAATATCTTTTCAGGTGCCATGCCTACAACAGACAACAGCAGGATTACACAGTCAATTTGCAACAGTACCGTTTCAGAAATGGTACTGCATGTTACCATGAAATATGGTACCGTACAGTACCATAGACTAAAAAGGTACCATACGGTACCATGAACACTGTACGCCACTATACTCCAATGGTACCATACGGTACCACACCCTTAATGTACCGTACGGTACCATGATTTTAGAGTGAGAATTGGGGGTGTAGAAAGAGTCTCCAAATAAAGTAAATTTTATTATGGTTTGTTATAATATTTCCTCCCATATAAAAAATGTTAAAACAATAATTAATCATATTTGCATAAAATTCCCCCCCCTCCCCTTATACAATTAATTTTTTTCTTTCAACTCTTTTGACATTTAGATACCACCTTTTAAATAGTATTTCAAAGTGTTTTTAGGAATCAGTTCCCGAAATGTACACCACAAATGGCAGAACATTATATCTGCAATAACAATATTTTTGATATCTATGCAACGCTCAGGAAGAAAATAAGGTATGGTAACCTAGGAAACAGTAGTTTCTATGAGAATGGGTGGTTAATGACTCTGGCTTTGGGCACAAGGGGCAATATATCACTTCTTTGAGGGAAAGAATTTTTCATAAAAGACTATTACAGAAGCTAATAAGATCAACATTTTCCCAAGGGCTTAACAATTCAATCTTCAATGAGTTCCTCAGAGTCAAGTTAGTCATGTTTAGTGTTCTATTAGAAATAAACATGACTTTGATTATCAACTGAAGAACCTATATTATCATCACCTTGCGAAGCCTGTTCTTAAGGTATTAGTTTAGAAGACTTATATTTTACTATACTGACTTGAGTAGTAAGTGGAACCATAGTGTCGGGCCAGTGGTAGGCCATAGTTTTCACCATCCGCCCTGGTCCAGGGTGAATAATGTCATAGTGTACATAGTTTTCAATAGGCGGTGATAATACTAATAATAACCTAATTTCAATGGGAAACTTAGTGAAATCTTGGCCCTTACTTTGTTGCCCTGGTAAGTGGTAGTGTAAATTTCAAAAGTTTTTTTGAACAATTAAGTTGATTCAGGAAGATCTGCAGAATGAATTTTTGTTTATGTAATTTTTATGTTTATAACGATTTATTGGTTGAAAATCAAAATATTCTGATTACATGGAATTTAATTATCCCATGCTTTTCAACTTTTTGGAATTTATTTATCCCATAGTTTTCAACTTTTTGGAACTTAATTATCCCATATTTTTCAACTTTTTGGAATTTAATGATCCCATATGTTTCAACATTTTGTAAGGGTGTGGAACTACCTTAAACTAACCTCTTCTAATAATCAAAATCCCTTTTATTATTTCAACAGGGTTCAGTTGCTATAAGGAGAATGACTTGTCTTATAAATCCTCCGTTATATTGTGATATATCAGTGATGTGATCCTGTTAGACATAATCCATCAAACATATTCCTGACATCTAGGGATGACATCACAAGTTGTGTCAACACAAACACAGCATGTCAACTTGACATGACTGAATCTGACATTAAATAAGAAAAGTAATAAGCATTCTAATTTGGCAATGAAAACTGTATATGGAAATGTTTTTGAAACACCAATCAAGAAGTTCATGTATAAGATTTGATTTGTCTCAGTTGATGGTTATACAATGTATTACCTGCTAACCAATGATTACGAACTTCCGCCTTAATCTATGTTCGAAAGAGGCACATATTTATCTCATTTATGGAACAATTTACCTTCCAAATGACATCTTATTCATGCAGATGAAAGTCTCAGGAGCATTTTAATTAAATATTTTATAACAAACATTATAACAACCAATTTTAGACGTACGCAGAGGAAAGTACAAAATATGATGAAAGTCTAATGATAATTAAGGAGAAATTGAGCTGTTACTTGAAGAATGTAGCAGCAATATACTGTTTTGGAAGTAAATATATAAAATCTCCATCATTCAACTTTGCAAAAATGAAGACATCAAAAAACATGTTTTTTAATCGACTTCCAGTCCAATATTGTCCATTGTCGAGTCGACTCCAGCTTTTTCCGTGACTTTCATCTCTCTAACATAGCAGTGTCATAAGAATTCAATGTCACTTACACCCCATTACATTACATTAAGCGTAATTGATGTATCGTGTATCAAAATAATGAGGAGAAACACAAAACACAACAAATTGTGATTCATAGATATTGGGAGATATTAGTTTAATATTACAGCTAATAACAAGCAGCAAACATTAGTTCCTTATGATGTGTTCAAACCTGAATGGGTTTTATAGTTTCATGGGGATTAAGAATGTTTCATTAAAACTAATTTTGAAAAATTTTGATCAAGCAACCGTTCAAAGAGGTTTGATGCCTGCACCCTGCGTCCAGAGTCTAGTTAAACCTTTTGAAGATGAAGCTCTCTTTTAAGTAGCGAAGTCAAACAAATGCAAAGGGTAGGATAACTTTTAAGCTTCAATCACATTTGCTCTACGGCGTCTGTACAGGGTGGCCATAGTTTTATCGATATGGAAATGTACTGCTACATTGTACAACTTTAATCCCTATATTTTATGCTGCATATTTTTCTCGATTTTGGAGCCACTGTGCAGTATTCCTAGATTAAATTTGGCCGAGGCATTAGATCACATAAATTTGAAAGATAAGCATACTCAGCAATCTTTCTTCAATTTTGTTTAGATTAAATAGGTTGTACCCCATAACAAAAATGACCAGGTCCCTAAGTAAGAACAGTGTAGTTACCTTCAACCTCTAGGCAGAGCTTATGTAATTGATGCATAGGGCACCTCTCACAGACAATGTTATTCTTGGCGCTTTGTTGGAATGCGTTATGGAAGGACTGTTTTAATGTTGTCATTATACTCTCCACCTAGAAATATATATAATCTTTATACAACAAAATAAAACAAAATATATATATCAGGCCCGTAGCCAGGATTCGGGCGAACCCCCCCCCCCCCCAGCCAAAAATTATTTCAAAATCATGCAGTTTTTCACCATTTTGAGCACTTCTCAAGTGAATTTAGCCATATTTGGGCCAAAATTGTCAAATGTGAACCCTCCTGGAATTTTTTGAAAACTGAACCCCCCTTGGCAAATCCTGGCTACGGGCCTGTACATAATCCTAAAATATAAGTAAACAAAGTTATATCGTGACAAAATGTTACCACCTGGTTATACAGTATTTGAGAGTTTTTTTCTTTATTCCTGTTAATACATTTAATTATTCCATAATACTACTGTTTTCCCAGGGAAATATGAAGGAATAAAAATCGTATTGAATCGTATTACATGAAAAAATCGTATTGTCCCCGGGAAGAAAATCGTATTGGAGCGTATTACATGAAAAAATCGTATTGTCCCCGGGAAAAAAATCGTATTGGAAAATATTAACCTATTTTTGGTTTTCCTGTTATTTTTAACCTTAGCTAATTGATAAAAGCATTTTCAAAATGTGACATTTTAGAGGAATGTATTATGGAATAAATAGGTTATTTCTGGTCGGGATTGAATATGGGTTTCATTCCTCGGAAAATATGATATTGACCTTGGGAAATATGATATTGACACTCGGTCGCTGCGCTCCCTCGGTCAATATCATATCACCCTTCGGTCAATATCATATTGTCCCTCGGAATAAAACCCATATTCAATCCCTCCCAGTAAATAACCTATATATATACAAAAAATATATAGACTGCCAAAGTTAGAAACATTAGTGGCAGCTTTTGAAAGAGTCAAAGCTAAGCTAATATGAATATTACTTCTCAAATTATCCTCACTATCCTACAAATACTACAACACTGTTCAAAATTATTTGTTGCCATGGTAACAGTTGCAATGGTAACAGATATAAACATTGGTCCCATTTATAGATGCGTCCTATGTGAGTATCTGTATGTACCTGTAACCTGTACCCTGTACCATGTAACTATTGAGTTAATGGATTACAATTTGAATTACTAATTTAATTACTTAAACCCACTAATTTGTTGCTATAGAAACAGAGATTGCCAGAAATCAATTATTCGTATAACATGTCTATATGTGTTTAATGTAAAGGTTTCAAGTTAGTCTTTGCATTAATTTTCCTGTAAAAAGTCAAAGCCAAAGCTGAATTGGAGTCGCAAAAATTCTTAGTGGTGACATAACTACATACCCTGCGTAAAATATTCAAACTTGGTATTAACACAGCAATAAAATGTCACCACCTTGTAACTATTGCAAACTGCAACAGATACCAAACGCCGATCACTGACTGCCGACCACTAACCACCGTCACAAAAAAGTTCATAACAATATCAATTGTGGGGGTGACATAATATAGGGGTCCAAATAGTGTAAAAATTTGTGATATAACATTATGTCACCATATTTTAAGCCATGACAAAAAACTGGTTGACTGAATCAGGCATTCATAGAGAGACCAAGGAGTGGACTGTGAGTATCAGGAAATTAGCATTGCTTACCTCATCAAACTGAATTTTTACATTGGAATGATCCATGATTATCTACTGACCACAGCTCCTCAGAGCACGATCAAGACATTAATCAATCCAGTCAATTTACCTCCCTAACCGATCAACTCATCGAGATTCACCTGCTATCGAGAGTTCCTGACAATAAATAGTTTTTCAGACAATAAATATTTCTTTCCGTTTGATACGAATGTTCTAAAATAAATCCTGTCTGGTCATGGAGAGTTGTATTCATTGTTATCCATGTCATATTCATTGCTATTCATGTCATATTCATTGTTATCCATGTCATAATCATTGTTATTCATGTCATATTCATTGTTATTTATGTAATAATTATTTTGATTCCTGTAATACCCAAAGTTATATATCATTTCAAAGTACATAAATACCTGGAAAGACTATAACACCTTGTTTCATTGCTTCTCATACTATGCCTCAGAAGTGTGTTTTTTCATTAAATCATTTACTCTCTGAATTATTAATGTTAAATGAACTTTTATCTTGCTTATTGCAGTTTGCTTTGTATTCTCTGTTGTTCTTTTGTATTATCTCCTAGGTGAAACAGTGTCTTTATTTGCATAGTGCTGCTTTAGTGCCTCTTTATTCTTCATTTGGTCTCTTTGCTTTATATCAGCATCATGCTTATATTTTTTTTTTCTGTGCCTCTATATCTGTTTTTGTATTGTGCATCTCTATCTTTATTATGTCTCTATTTCTGCTTTGATTCTTAATTTGTATTTTGCCTCTGTATTTCTATCATAGCTCTATGTACTTTCATCCCAACTTACAATTTTCATTTTATCCCTTTTTATTGGACCTCACTGTGTATATTCATCTATATGCCAATATGCCACTATGCTTCTTTAATGCCACTATGCTTCAATTATGCCACTATGCTTCAAGTATGCCACTAAGCTTCAATTATGCCAATATGCTTCCATAATGTCGCCATGCTTCAATTATACCACTATGCTTCAAGTATGCCACTATGCTTCAATTATGCCACTCTGCTTCAATTATGCCACTATGCTTCAATTATGCCACTATGCTTCAATTATGCCACTCTGCTTCAATTATGCCACTATGTTTCAATTATGCCACTTTGCTTCAATTATGCCACTATGCTTCAATTATGCCACTAAGCTTCAAGTATGGCACTATGCTTCAAGTATGCCACTATGCTTCAAGTATGCCACTATGCTTCAATTATGCCACTATGCTTCAATTATGCCACTATGCTTCAATTATGCCACTTAGCTTCAAGTATGCCACTATGCTTCAAGTATGCCACTATGCTTCCATAATGTCACCATGCTTCAAGTATGCCGCTATGCTTTAAGTATGCCACTATGCTTCCATAATGTCGCCATGCTTCAAGTATGCCGCTATGCTTTAAGTATGCCACTATGCTTCCATAATGTCGCCATGCTTCAAGAATGCCACTATGCTTCAAGTATGCCACTATGCTTCCATAATGTCGCCATGCTTCAAGAATGCTGCTATGCTTCAAGTATGCCACTATGCTTCCATAATGTCACCATGCTTCAAGAATGCCACTATGCTTCAAGTATGCCACTATGCTTCCATAATGCCGCCATGCTTCAAGAATGCTGCTATGCTTCAAGTATGCCACTATGCTTCCATAATGTCACCATGCTTCAATTATGCCAATATGCTTCAATTATGCCACTATGCTTCCATAATATCACCATGCATCTCATATGATAATATGCTTCTATCATATTACTACTCTTCTGGCTCTATACTTCCCTGGTGCCACTGGGCACTTGTTTGGCTCTATATCTCAAATTCTCTATCTGCATTACAGAGCGATTGTTTCCAGATACTGTATTCTTAATCCCATACTTGAATTAGCCTCCCAGAGGTAACATAATTATAAAAATGTCCGCCCCCTTAAAATTTTCTAATCTCATCAGTTTTTCTTATTCATGAATAAATAGCTATAGAAGTGTCTGGTATTTTGCTTATTATATAACATGCTTATTTTTGCTTTCGACTTTATAAACACAGATTGCGAAAATGTCAACCATAATATAATGAACTACAGTAAAACCTGTATATTTGTGATCATCTCTCTTATTTGGATACATCTTCATATGAACACTTCTCAGTCTTATTTTTCACCTGCCATATAGTTACCCTGCGTGCAGAGTCTAGTTAAACTACACTCTGCCTAATAGAGACCACATTACAGTTTGGTAGCCCCGCCCCCACGACGGGTACCGGTGACAGTTAGGTAAATCACTTTTGACCTACGCGCTGACCTTCCACCAATCAGCGAGCTTGAAGAAACATGCGCCAAATGCGTTTTAATTAAATATGCGCATGTTATTGGTCAATTCCGGGCTCAACGATGACGTCAGAAGGAATGACCATATAAAGAAAGTCGGTCAAATTTGGCCGACGAACACTGATTGGCGCGGTGAGTTCACAGGTTTATTTTAGTTTGAAAGAGTGAAGACGGAGCTCTCTTTTAAGAAGTGAAGTCAAACGAATGCAAAGGGTACCATATAGTATATGTTAAATAAAAATGTGAACATCTGTCAATCTAAACATTTAAGCCAGTCCCAGTAGAGTTCCACTTAAACAGCTTTTAATTGTGATGAAAATAATTTTTTCGTTCATTCCTATTTTTCCACTCTTACTGTCTGGTGAATTATCTTCAGATCTTCAGACTTTCTATTGATTTAAAAATTAACATAGAGATAGAAATATGACATTGGCTCCATGGGAATGATAATAAAGCTCTACTTATAACATTTTGAAAACCTTGCATAATGAATGATTGATTTGGACAATGGTCTTTCCAATGAAGTGATATGGACTCTAAATATGATTTTTCAAAGCCAAAAGGTTCAATGTCTCTTGCAGTTACATAACAAGGCAAAATGTCACCACCCACCATTTGTTACAGACACCGAACACCAACCGCTGAATGAAAAACACCAACATGCAAACACCATTCACAAAAACGTTGGAGACTTTAACAATATGTCACCACTTGTAGCGTTGATGTAAAAACCTGAAGTGCTTGTAGTTTTATTTGATTTTATCTCAGGTGTTTGCGTGAAATGACTATGCTCATATATGAACTATTATATACTAAATGTGCTTGTTTTTTATAGATTATGTTACTACAAAAGGATAAACAGGTACATAACACACAAAATGTTGTTCCTCATCATTAACATGAAGTACTGATCCATCCATGTACATGTTGTTTAGAAATGGAAATTATTTGTAAAGGACTAACAGTGCTTAGTGCTTAATTAGGTGCTCTGCGAGGTTTGTCAATTACAAATATGTCACGATTGAATACTTCAGACTTAAAAAGCCCTGCGTTGACAATATTTCACAAATGTGATCTGGCTTCTCATAAATAATATCATTTCCTTTAAGTTTAGTCCCCAAAATTATTTCACAAATGACTACTCAGCCATCAGAATGATAATTGTCAAACTAATCATCAAGTACCTATCCAACCATAAACAAGACACTCAGTATCATACTTCACTATAGAAAAAAATTTAAAAAAATAAAAATAAATAAAATGGCTGCCAAGTAATTTAAACAGCATGCCAAAAACCTAATGTGGCCGACACTAGGTGTCATTTTCTAGAAAAATCAAAATGGCCGCCAAGCAATTTAACCAGCAGTCCAAAAACCCAATGAGACCTTGACACTAGTCTGCTCTTGATCCCTAAAAAATTCAAATTGAACATGTGTGTTGTTTTCATTTTTGAATCATGGGGACAAAGACCAAAAGTGGACTGAAAGATAACCTGCTAGAGTAAACCAAAAGATTAACTCAAACCTATAAACCGGGCAAAAGGCTGAGAAATAAATTTACAAAATTTCAAAATAAATTAAGTTACATAAATTGAATTATAAAAGACCATAGAGGACATTTTTCTAGCACATGATCCTTCTTTTATATGCCATTGTGGTGTCTAAGATTGTGACATGTCTTAGATGTTGCATGTTTTGTATATATTTTTATGATAAATAAAACAAATAAATATAGATAATATGACTTACCACTCCCTCTGTAGCACATTGGAAGACATAACACAGGAATCTTCCAGTGCTAGGCTCTCTTGAGATGAAACCAAAGTAATCTGGATGCTTAATACCCTGCAAATGCCATAACAATAAGGTTACAAATCATGTATATGGATTAATCAAATGACTAATGGGGTAACGTCATGTGATAGACTCAAAGGTTCAGTTTTATGAATCATTGCAGCATTCAGTGGGTTCACATGTGAGAAAAGCTGATTTCTCCAAAAAGAGGCGAAAATAGGGATCGAGATCAACGGTGTGAATAACTAGTATGTATCCCATGAGAGGGATATATTAGTTCAGAGGAATAGCAGTTCTCATTTGTCTAAGAACTGAGAACAAAGAAATGAGTGGGCAATTTCATAGATTTAGCCAAAAGGGCCTCAAAAAGGTCTAGTTATTGAAAAAATCAGTGTACTTTAGCCTATACCCATCTGCCAATGAATTTTATGGGATACAAAAATGTTAATCTGAAAACAGACATTGCCTCTAAAGAAATGAATATTTACAACAAAACATAGATGGCAACAGTGTATTATGGAACCATATTTAGTCATATCATAGGCTCATATCTTTCAACAAGTAGTGAAAAATTTAAGATTAGTACTCCGACAAGCCCTATGTTGCTATTCCCCTTTTCATTCTGTCTCCCTCAGAAACAGGAAGATGTGAGTCAGGCAGACGCCTTGAGCGAACTAACAGTTTAAATAAATAATAAACGACCTTCAGGCCTTAACCCCCAAAAATTTCAAAATCACGCCATTCTTAGTACTTTTCAAGTGATTTTGGCCCAAGGTTGTGAAATGTGAACACCCTAGAATTTTTTGAAAAGTGAAGCCTTGGAAACAGCTGGCCACGAGCCTGATCTTCTCAACCAAAGCAGAGCAATTGTGCTTTTCATTGCTCTTCAATATAATTATTAAGAAAGAGCAACTTTTAAAAATGGAATCACTGCATAATTGTCATACTGGATTACTGGTATTTGTTATTTAGATTTAGATTTTCTGGAGATAGCGGTGAGCTTGAAGGGTGGGGGAGAAGGCTTTAAATATACATACCTGTGAACAGAAAGAAATGTCTTTAAATCTTCTTTCTAGTATAATACTCTTCTTATCTGGACTAACGAGGCATAAATCTGTGCTACCAATCTGTAACACCATTGTTCTGTTACGCCTAACCCTCCCTTCTTTAGCAACAGTCTTCTCCTGTTTTGGTTTAGATTCATTTTGAGCGTCAGTTTCATCCTGGGAGCTCCCAAAAACACTACCAGCCAAGCTGATATTGTCTAAGGCAATGATTTTAGTTTTTGGATTTACTTCAGTTGAATCTGTTAAACCTCCAGTTCCATTGTTATTAAAATTATCAGAACCATCAAGTAGATCGTCCTGACTCCGGGACAACAGCTTCGACATTGATTGACTATCGTGGATACCATTTTCCTGAGAGCGTAAACCTGCGTTACTTCCACTGCTATTCCTGCGACGTCTTTCCGCCCTTTCCCTCTGTAATTCATGATTCTTAAATTGTTCAACTGCAATATCGATAAAAGTAGGTGGCGCTTTTTTCTCAGATACCGTAACTTTACCAGTGTATAGAACCTCGTAAACTTGACTTCCTGTGCGATCTTGTAAATCATCGAAGGATCGGCCGGTCTTTATTGTTGGATTGTCCTTTAGATCCTTGGTTGCTTCCCTTATTGCACTAAACAGCTCTGGTACCTGAAAAATAAATGTAAAAATAATGTGCTGTTAAACTTTGAAGGAGTTATCAATTCATCAATCAAATACCAGAACATTTGTATTAACCTGAAGATTTTTTAATGTTGTTGAAAAAATGAATTCTAATTTTGAATAAATAAAAATATGTTGAATAAATGTTCAAAACTTGGTCAGAATATTTTCAAAGGAATGTCAGAAAGTCTATTAATTTGTAATGCTGATTTTTGAATAAAATGAAAATTTCATCCAAGAATTGAAAAAGCACTTAGCCACAGATTAAACAGCTGTTTTGATATCAAATGTTCAAAACTGACAATAATATTATGTTGCTATGTCAACAAATACTATTGTTCTGAAATATAATTCCACTTATAAATAGTTAAATGTTAACCTTTTTTGGTAACCCTTAAAATCAACAATAGTATTCATGTACATGTATGGTGTTTTATGAAAAATCTACTGTTGCTATGACATCTCATAATACTGCTATAACAATTATGTTGCTATGGCAAACTCATATTGCTATGACTACCTGGGATAGGTTAGATGCTGAGGAGACGTCCCTTAAGATCACAGATGGTACACCACCTATCCTACCACCCGGACAACTATATCTCCTCATACTTCTCATAACTCCCTATGTTAGTATATCCTCCCAATTATTCCTGAATCTGAAACTTATTTGATTTTTGTTTGGTTTTCTATTCTAGTTTCTTAGAATTGCTCATCGTTTTCGTCAGTCTTGCTGTAAAATTTTATTCCAAATATATCCTAGTAATCCACTTGATAATTGCTTCTATTGTTTCCTCCAGAGCCTGGACTTCTGGCCTAGACCTACTACATCAAAAAAGTTTAAACTATCTCTCTCAGAACACACTCTCCAACATACTCCAAACATCAATCCTCCAGGAAGGAACAGAGTGAATAATATCTGCAGTCCTGCATTTGGAGGAAGTGAGAAAAAACTGAAAGTAATCAACAATGAGCGAAATAATAATTTCCTTGATATTAATTGCTGATCCAGCAAAGATACCAAAATCTACCCAATAGAGTAAAATATTCCAATAAGATTTGAGGATCAATCGATCAGTAGCATCTACGGTGATCTAACAATCAATATAATCCCCCTTTGAGGACAAACTCCAATAATTTCTCCAATATTGCTCGTGCAAATTCAATTTCAAATTAAAGAATCAAAGAATTTCTGCTACTTTTCGCTCCCAAGTGGCTCGCATCAAGCTTTGAAGCATAATGTAACTGTTATAGTTATGAAGCTACAATAATTTGTTCCATAATTTGAGTTATTTTGCCATTAAGCAGAAAACGTGTAATTCAGTATACAGGATGTAATATTAAAGACACTTTCCTGATCAAATATCAGTATGATATTTAAAAACAAATTTGCAGTGATAAATGCTGATAATTGAGTCTTTTCACAGGATATCGAAGCATCTGATGAAGAAATTATCAGAAAATCTGTTCAGCAAATTGATATTATGTCTTTGTTTTATTTTACATTTGCCAGAGAGTCAAATGAGAATAATATTTGCAAAAGTGAAATGTATTCCTGTACCTACTATAATAAGAGATCAGACCTTTAATAGAAAAATAGGTACAAAAGTTTGTGATATTCAAAATCCTTGGGAATGGGATATTAATATGGCAAGATATACTAGTCAAACATGAATATTCGAGCAAAAATAGTTTGTTCTGATTTTCGAAGACATCTTTAGGACAAAAATCAGAGACCCTAAATGATCCTCTTTTTTATACTCATGTATTAGTATGATAGCTGACTGGGAAACCAAAAACGACTGGAATTTAAAATTCAATTGACTCACAAATGATTTTGGTACCATTGGAAAGGTTATAATATGTAAAGGGATGGGAAATTATATTGATTTGAACTGAAATTACATCTGTTGCCATAAAAAAGTTTTATTCCCGAACAACTACTTAAATTATCTGATTTTTATTCCCAAACATACAAAGGCCAATCCAGAATTTTTGATAAAAATGCTGTATCTTTTTGAGGTTACCATAGCAACCATAGATTAAGAAATAGTCCTTATCATCATCTTAATTTTTATGTAACTTACAGTGAAATGAATGACCCAGTTACTCTGTAAATATTGTAGAAAACTAATGATAAAATTTCAAGTGAGAGCATTTTTATCAGAACTTCTGAAGCTGCCCTTGTACAACTCCTGACACATCCCCACTCTCTCCCAAGCACACATGTTTCATTCCCCAGTCTAGTTATATTATCCCCAGTCCCACAATTAATTCTACTTACAAAGATATTCTCATTTACAAGCAAACATACAATTCCCTTCACTTCCCAGAACCCAATCCCCTCATCAAATTATATGTAAATTCCTATTTTTAATTCAAACAACAAACATGTTGACATGCCTCTAATGAATTAGAAAGGTTGATTAAAAAACTTCTCATTCATTCTAAGTTAATCAACACAAGCTTTACCTTGTTATTTGCATTTATTATTCATTAAATGTTGCTCCCCGAAGATAAAGTCGATAGGTCATGGATTTCTACTTAGTACCACATGACATAGCGCAAAAGCATAAAATGTACAATAATCTCCCCAGCATTAAAGCAAGTGGGTACAGCACCCAACTAAGATTTTGAAAATAAGCTTGAATCCACCTGAAAATATATTTGCACCCCCTTTAAAATGAGAAAACTCATGAAAAATGACCATATTTTGACCAACTTTGGTCTGAATTGTGAAAATGAGAATTTTGCACCCACTTGAGAAAAAATCCTGTGGAGATCACTGATAATGATTCTGATTAGTATGTTCTAATAATAAAAAAGCAAAACACATGAATCAATACAGTTAAACCCGAAGACAAAGTCAAGATTTCATAGATTTCTATTTAGTAACACAAGACAAAGAGCTCAAAAATTAAAAGTGTTGAGTAATATAAAAAGCAAAACACAATAATGGATACAATAAAACCTTTGCTTGTGAACACTTCTTTAAAATGAACACCTCATTCACATTTTCAGTAATATATTAGTTAAAATGATTCCCGAGGACAAAGTCAAAAGTTCAGAGATTTCTATCTAGTAACACGAGACAAAGTGCACAAACACAAAAAATGTTGAGTAATATAAAAAGCAAAACACAATAATGAATCCAATAAAACCTTTGCATGTTATAACACTTATCTAAAATGAACATCTCATTCACATTTTCACTCTCATTTTTGGATACTCCACAGACATATATATTACGTTTGAAACATTGACTCTGAACACCTATCAAAAATCAAAATGAACACTTTCAGCCATTCCCAGTGGTGTTCACTTTAGAGAGGTTTTATTGTATTCTTCTTTAATATCATTTGCTTCCATATAACAAGACCCCTCAAATATGCTACAGCACACTATACAGTAAAACCTGTCTAAGTGAACACCTCTATCTATCTCTAGTGGATACCCTTCCTCCACATATACTCTATTGACTTCTGTATAAACTACCATTTCTGTTGAGAACACCCACCAACACTGAACGTTTTTTCTTGGCAAAAAAAAGTTCAGTAAAAACAGGTTTCACTGTATACACAAGCACAATAAACAGTATATTAATTTTGTATCTGATCAATTTTATCCTCCTCTTTTATCGATGTTATCCCAGTAGTTATGATTCGTTGTTAAAATTCTTTTTACATCATCCATGTTAAATGCGCTTTCCACTTGTTTGATTACAACATACTATATTATTACTTGCACTTTGTTATTTTCTATTTGTATTCAACATGTGCATCATATTCTCTTTTTAAGCCGCATGTTTTGAATTTAAGAAAATAATGAAGTTGTCTGTGTCAAACAGAGCAAAACTCCTATTTCTATATGTTGTTATAAAATAGCTTTCAACATTTTTAAAGTATTTATTTTATGTGTCTTTTGTATAAGCTTGTGACCTGGAAAGGTTTGTTAAGTTGACTTGTGCCGTTTACTTATTAGCGTGTTGTGAAAATGATACAGAGACTGTAAACAAACACAGCTGAGTTCTAAATAATAGGGGGCTACTACACAGGCACTGATGATACAGTTGCTACTACAACCAATTCACAAACATGTTTTGACTCTATTGGCTACTATAAACAGACATGTTTGACAATGAAGGCTATTAAATAGATATGTTTGGCCATGTGGGTTCATAAATAGACATGTTTTGACTCCATTGGCTATTATAAACAGACATGTTTTGACTCTATTGGCTACTATAAACAGACATGTTTGACCATGAAGGCTATTAAATAGATATGTTTGGCCATGTGGGTTCATAAATAGACATGTTTTGACTCCATTGGCTATTATAAACAGACATGTTTTGACTCTATTGGCTTTTATAAACAGACATGTTTGACCATGTGGGCTACTAAATAGATATGTTTGACCATGTGGGTTCATAAATAGACATGTTTTGACTCTATTGGCTATTATAAACAGACATGTTTGACCATCTATAGATATGTTTGACCATATGGGCTACTAAATAAATATATGTATGTTTGACCACATGGGCTTATAAATAGATATGTTTGACCAGTGCTACTAAATAAATACATGTATGTTTGACCATATGGGCTTATAAATAGATATGTTTGACCATATGGGCTACTAAATAAATACATGTATGTTTGACCATATGGGCTTATAAATAGATATGTTTGGCCATATGGGCTACTAAATAAATATATGTATGTTTGACCATATGGGCTTATAAATAGACATGTTTTGACTCTATTGGCTCATAAATAAACATGTTCAACCCCATGGACTGCTAAATAGACATATTTGACAGAGTGGACAACAAAATAACACTAATCATAATACTGCTCAGCTTGAGGAAATAACATGTTTTAGGCCAGTCATATGGTTTACATTCTAAATCCAGGAACTCTTTACTTGCTTCTAGGCTTGAAGGCCTGGAAATCTATTTTGTTTGAAAACTACTCCAGTTTGTTTCGAAGGTCAATGTTACAGACAAGTGACGTCTCAAGTTTCCCCAGATAGGAACACTTATCTGGCATTTACTCACTTATTGGTGCGAACAATACATTCCAATCATCTGTTTCATCAATTATCTAATGACGTCAACATGTTCTGAAATGACCCTCTCCCTGGCCTGAAATGACATTATCTCTAGACTCCCTTTTGCGTGAATTGACCCCCTCCCTAGTCTAAAATACCCCCCCCCCCATATAATCCATAAACTGAATTGACATATTCTTAAATGACCTCATCCCTTGCCTGAAATACATACCTTACCCCTCAAATAATCTCCTTTGTCTGAAATAAATTTCTCCTAATATCATTACTGTTACACTTGCTTGAATATGAGAAATTGAAAAATTGGCATATTCCAACTTTTTAACTTTGTGAATTTATATGAATTATGATTGATATAAACCTAAGAGCACATATCTATATGTTTATTTACTTAGGAAATTCATAAGAAAAGTTTTAAAGGAAATACAAGAACACAACAAACATACAGGAGGTCGTTGTCTTTGGGCAATTCACTAAAACTAAAAACTGATGTATTAGTTCGTATGATTAGACAAACTTCATATAGTATGCAGCACCCACCTGAGATTTTTTTTAAATAGGCTTGCACCCACATGAAAATCCATTTCCACCCACTTGAAAATGAGAAAAATCATGAAATATTGGCATATTTTGACCAATTTTGGTCTGAATTGTGAAAATGGGAATTTTGCACCCACCTGAGAAAAAATCCTGGGGAGATCAAAGTATACAGTATATCTTCAAAATAATATCTCTACACCGATGATTAAAACATATTGTATGAACTATTTGTTTTCAATTAACCCAGTTGATGATGGCATTGATGTATATCTTTGTAAATAACATGATGCATTACATTTGACATAAACACAGAGAGTACATATGGTTTAAATCTCATATGAAACAATGTTGAAACAATCAACTTTCAGCAAGGAGTGTTGGCTCCCAGAGTTCCAACTCAATATTTTCAATCTCCAAGCAATTTGTTCACTGCTGATTTCTATGGCAAAGAATGCATGAATTCGAATGAACTACACGAAGACTGACGATATTCTAGCAATATTGACAACAACAATGAAAATGTCGTTATTTTCTGACATTATAACCGACTATAAATTCAT